CCCTTCACCCATCATTATGTGTCCCCTATTGGTTTGGCCAGCTAAGGTGTGTTATGTCGACCTCTTCTTTCCACATAAAGGTATGCGCGCATCACAGTTGTCTTTTTTCTTTCTGCATCCTTAGCCTGCACATGTACGTATGTGTGCATATGGGCCAGCAAAGTCAGTCGAATCGTCTATTGGCGCGTTCGTCTGGTGCAAGCATGCGTGCGTGCGTGACCGCATTCACACGCGCATTCAAAATTGCTCTGGCATATGGGAAAAAAGTTGCAGGGGACACGCATGGGCGCTTATTCGACCAATTTAATTGTAATGACTTCCCACACGCCTCTCTTTCTTTTTTAGCCAAAATACATGCATGAAGTGAGCAGCAAAAAAGCGCATCGTGTATAACAGAGAGCATTGGGATGTGGATTGAAGTTCATTTCTTTTCATTTTTTTTCCACACAAGAGAGCGGTTGGAGGAGGCACATCTGTGTGTATGCAGCTGCTAATGCACTTGCTTTTTAGCTGTGCTCTGAGTCTACTAATCTTAACTAACCACAATGACTTCTTTAAGTGTTTTGCGGCGCCAGAAGCAATTAGGTCTGCGAACCTGTGGTCAGGCGAGATTGGTTAACCTGTTCGTCGATAATTAGCCACTAAAGGGAGGAATAGCTTAAGGATTAAGGTCAGTAAGGGTCTACACTGTCCGATGAGTCATGTGCGTAATGGGTACCATGATTGTAAGACACTGAGGTCAGTATTAACATGCCGTTACTTGAGTCTGTTGGCATGACCCTCATCACCTCATTTTGTAAAGTTAGTTGAACAAAAGTTGGCTTTTGCTATGTGCTGTAAATTTGACAGTTTAATGGAGTGTTGGTGCGCTCTGAGGCGATGAAAAATGATTTAATACACAATTAACCGTATCGTCTTCTCATCAAGACTCCCACCTCCTCGTATTTTCGCCATTTTTACGAAACTATTTATTTGAGACATTCTCCTCTTAAAAACTCATAAATTGCTACCTAAAACAGCTAGTTAAAGCATCTCATCGTCCAAGCGCTATCCCCCATCAATCCTAAGATGGCAACGATAAAGATGGTGGTGGTGATGATGGTGCTAATATATGGTTTAGTTTTGCCATCTGTCGGTCGTATAGGAATGTCATTCCGAAAAGTTTGGACAAAGGCAAAGTATGACTAAAAGGCGCATCCATGATGGTATCCACTGGAGAGGAGGGAAAAGGGGGAAGTTGGCATTTGGGCTTGTTATCCACGCAACTCCCAGGAGTTCAGTTCGATCACTGTAATTTGGCAGACAGTCACATAGTCACAAGAAGAAAGGCTGCGGTCAGAAGATGATTTGACAAGTGTCAACCCGTGGACGGATAAATCAACTTGTACTATTGTGGCTAAGTGGGGCGCTGACCGCTTGACTTTGCCTAATGAAAAGATACTTTTGTAAACAGGGGTCACAAATCCAAACAAAGGTTACTTTCAGCTAAGTTGAGTGCAATCACTTTTAGCAAATGCAACGTAAACTTTGATCCAGAAGGTATAACAATCTACAAAGGCCAAGTCACTACAAGTTGTGGTGAAATTGACAATTTGAAACGCCAGAAGTCATGCCGTTTGAAGTTAAAAACCGGAGAAGGGACCAGCCACAATAACTCCAAGATCTTGGTGATTTGGTAAAACTTTTTTGCGTTTCTAATCCAGTCACATATGCCATGTCACCTCTAGCTTGGAGTCCGCCTCCACAACTCACGAACATAATGCTACAAGTTCACGTTTACGGCTGATAAGTTTCCACTTGATTGATCTGCATTATGCCAGATTTCAGTGGATTTAAGCAGGGATAGGAAAAAGTAGCGAAAAGCGTGAATAAAAACTTTTCAAGTGATGCTGAGGTATCAGGGGAAAGTTTTAAGCACTCAACTACTCGTGGTGACATTTTGAGGAAGGCGATGAGACAACCGTTAAAGCAACATCCATCACGCGACCAAAGGCAGACACTCAGCGATTTACCCACATGGAAAGCCGAGGTGATGATTAATTAGTGGCGCTCATGGAGGTGGTCCAGGGCCTCCCCCAGGCATAGAAATGGAGGAAAAAGGTTCCGCCCTAATTAATTTTTCACCATACAAGAATTCAAACGGAATTTCTAATTTAGTGATGTAGAGCTCAAGAAAGGGGGTTAGTAGTCAGCCTAGGCCTAAATTAACATTGACTGCCACAGGCAAAAAGCCCTCAGAAAAGATGATTTTATCGCATGCACTTGGAGAAGACGAGGAAAAAGGCGGGCGGGGTAGTCGTCGTCGTCGTCGTCAGCCTCGTCGACGTTTCGCTTGCCTGCTTTCTCTATCACAACGACACAAAATTAAAATCAGGTAAACTTATCAAAAAGGCGCAGAAAGTTGAATTGACTACTTCCAATCATTCAACTTTGAGCATATGACAGACCGCGAATTTTATTTGAACTAATTACATTTACCTTAGCAATGACAGCCATGATTGGTGAAGCTTAGGCGGAACCGTATCCCAACCCATCTACTCGCGGGAATCAGATCATTGAACTTACGTTAAAGTCATTTGTATGACTAAAGTGCCACATTAGTTATGTTAAAACACCCAACCCTCTCGCCTCCAGCCAACCCCCCCATTTTGAGTTATTGAATGCATGAAAATAGGAGGGAGGGGAAGGGAGAGAGGATGGGGACCAAAGGCACGCTAGGACTGATTGATAGCACGGTTAATCTCAGAGAGTTAAGTGACCCAGCCTCTGCCCCCTACCGATGATTCACTCACTCAAGGCATGAGAAGCGACACCGACTGGTGACTCAGCCGTGGATAGTGTTATAGCATGGGAAACCTCGCGATCGGCATTATAATACACCAACTTTCACCTTCTGGGAAAACGCACATAACCCAGTTTTGCTAGCAGGTTTTAAAAGGCGGATAAACAGTGAGAAAGAACCCGCCTTAAGGGTTAAAAAACTAACCCCTCTTCAACGAGACGAGGTGAAAAAGGCGAGTAGAGGCTGAGAAATTGGCTTTGTGACGGCAGCACAATGGGGCAAAAGACGTGAATACACGAACCGAACAGGTCCCATTCAAGGGTATGGAATTCTAAAAAAAGGATCAAAGATATCCCCGCCACTTACAGTTGCAAAGCTGCTACTTTGACCATCCACCTTCTTTCCTGTGAGGCGGCAACGCAGTGAAGGTACAATACCATGGATGAATGCGCAAAGCGCCCACCGGGATAAAAAGTTGGTGGGATGAAGTGGAGCCGCTGACCCCACCCCTCTCACTTGGTTCACACACACACACACACACACCGAATGAGAAGTGATATGCAAAAAGACGTGAAATGATTTCTTCCGTTAATATCTCAACTCCTACCGCCTTTTTGAGGGGGTAAAAGCTAAGCCAGGAGGGCATATGCGCTGGGCACAGCGACTACCTAGTTTAGCGCCCTTTGGTCTACCATGCATATCCAGATGATGCGCCAACCCTTACTAAGACTGACCGCACAAAAGCAGCGAGCATTATGATTGCATCAAATCACATCGAAGACAGAAGGGTCAGATTTGAAGATACATGACCCTATCAGAGTGGTTCTCGGCCAGACGACAGTACCATCTGCTGCGCCGTAGCTCTAGCGTCACAACAAAGTAAACGGGTAGAGGGCAGAGGTCGACTTACTTTTCAAAATTCATCAATAAACGCATCAACAATAGCGCTCTTAGGGAGGGGAAGCAATTCAGCAGCCTATCGGACCAAGCAACAGGTTCTTTAGAAAGCAGTGATCTAAGGAACAACTCAATGCGAGCGGAAAATAAAGTCAACTATTAC